ATCATACAATCTCTAAAATCAAGGGACATAACACTAGTATTAGGAGACTTCAATGCCAAGATTGGCAGACGTAGATTTGACAAATATGTGGGAGAATATGGACTTGGTAGGAGAAAAGAAAGAGGTGATAGACTGCTGCAATTTTGCCAAGAAAACGATTTTATTATATCGAATACGTTCTTCAAACTTCCAAACCGCCATTTGTACACCTGGAAATCTCCGCAAGACAACAAACAAAATATAGTCAGGAACCAAATTGACTACATCTTGATAGACCACAGATATAGGAATGTAATCAAATCAGTTAAAACCTACCCAGGGGCAGATGTCTCATCGGACCATAATCCACCAATAGCCCGGTTTTTAATAACACTTAAAAAAACAACGAGAAATACCAACAACAAATTGTATAGACGTATCGGGTCTAAAAATCCAAGAAACAAGACAAAGGCTACAAAAAAAGATCAATGACAACCTCAGATCCCTCAAAAACAATCAAATAACAGCGGAAGAAGACACGGACAAACAATGGAAAGATTTAAAAAATGCATTAATTGAGCCGAGCAAGACCATTCTGACAAAACAGAAAATAGGGAAAAAACAAGAATGGATGACTCCAGAAATTTTGAATTTGATGAACGAACGACGTGGTGTAAAAGACAACAATGAAGCATATAAGAATATTCAGAAAGAAATCCGATCACAGATAAGAGAAGCAAAAGAGGTATTCTACAAAAGAAAATGCGACGAAATAGAAGCCCTTCAAGAAAAGCACGACAGCTTCAATGTCCACAAGAAAGTAAAAGAACTGGCAGGGTTACAGAAAAAAAGACAACCGTCAATGCTCACTGACCAGAATGGCAAAATTATTATGGAAATGGAAGAAAAACTAAGAACAGAAGAATTACATAACAGAATTATTCGATAATGAGAGAGATATAAACAGAATAGTAACAGAACAAGAAAACAGTGGACCGGAAATAACTAAAGAAGAGGTCATCCATGCTATAAAAATCACAAAAGATGGAAAAGCTGCAGGGCCTGATGAGTTACCCTCTGAAATTCTCAAATTGATAGAAGAAGAAAACATACACAGTCTAACAGATCTGTTCAACACCATATACAAAACAGGTATTATACCCAGGGAATGGTTGCTATCAGCGTTCGTCACTATCCCAAAAAACATAATGCAGGGCAATGCACAGACTTTCGAACAATCAGTCTAATGAGTCATACGCTAAAAATATTTCTGAAAGTGATACATCACAGGATATACAAAACATTAGAACAAGATATCAGCGAGACTCAATTCGGTTTCCGAGGTGGCTTAGGCACAAGAGAAGCAATATTTGCCTTGAACGTTCTCGCCCAACGATGTATGGATATGAATCAGGATCTTTATATATGTTTCATTGATTACAACAAAGCCTTTGATAGGGTCCGACACGAACAACTTATCCAGCTTCTGAAAGAGAAGAACTTAGACACCAGAGATATAAAAATTATTACGAATCTTTATTTTAATCAAAAAGCAGTGGTAAAAATAGAAGGGAATAACACCGAAGAAATAGAAATCCGTCGAGGCGTTAGGCAGGGGTGCGTGCTATCACCGATGTTATTTAACCTTTACTCAGAGGAAATAATGAAACGAGCATTGGACGATGAAACGAAAGGACTAAAAATTAACGGAGTGCCTATCAACAATATAAGATATGCGGATGATACGATCCTGATAGCTACCAACCTAAACGAATTACAGATTGCAGTAGACAAAGTTAATACATCGAGTGAAGAGTTCGGACTGTCACTAAACGTAAAAAAGACTAAATTTATGATAATATCAAAAACAGCACAAAACAATTCACAAATTCATATAAATAACCACTCCATAGAAAAAGTTGACAGTTATAAATACTTAGGTACAATTGTAAATAAAAATAACGACTGCTCTGAAGAAATCAAAACTAGAATAGGATAGGCGAGAACAACATTTGTAAAAATGAAAAAGAGTGCTCTGTGGCAGCGGTCTCAGCTTGGATTTAAAAATCAGAATGGTGCGATGCTATGTTTTGTCGGTACTGTACTATGGTGTAGAGGCTTGGACTCTGAAGAAACTGGACATAAGGAAACTGGAGGCGTTCGAAATGTGGTTTTACCGTAGAATACTTAAGGTAAAATGGACCGATAAAGTGACTAACATGGAAATCCTGAAAAGAATAAAATAGGAAAAAGAAATTATCATTACGGTAAAAAAGCGTAAACTTCAGTACCTTGGACACGTCATGAGAGGAGAAAAGTACCAACTACTCCAACTGATATTACAAGGAAAAATTCAAGGAAAGAGAAGTGTAGGAAGAAGGCGTCACTCAGGGATGAGAAATTTACGTGACTGGTTCGGGTGCACCACAAACCAACTATTTCGGTCGGCTGTGTCACGAATACGAATAGCACTGATGATTACCAACCTTCGCAACGAAGACGGCACTTAGAGAAGAAGAATGCTTTAGTGAAGTTACATGGCCATCTAGATTCTAGATGGCCATGTAGATTAAAGAACCATTTAACTTTTAATGGATGTTTGCGTGAATCCACCATTAGCGAAAATTGCCTGCTTTGATTGAAATTATTGCTTTTTCAATGACAATTAAATGTTAAAATTTTAACTTGACAATTTTGTTAGACACTGACTGTTTGGATTACAGGACACCTCTGGCTCTCAATTTGAGCCAACCCAATTTTTTACCCATGCTAATCACAATTTTTCTTTTCAGTTACAATGCGTAGAACAAAATTAAAATACACTTTCAAAAATGCATGAAATGCTAGGGCTCAAAATGGCATAAACGTGCGATAGGAGCAGTTAATAATGGAGGACAAGGCATTAGAACGGCTGCTAGAAACTATCAAGTTCCCAGATCTACATTAGAAAGGTTTTTGCAAAGAGCCAACAACTTAGCTTTAAAAAATGGGAAAAACATCCTTCCTAAAATGGTGTGTTGTTAAGGCAAAGACCAACAGCACTTCGTGACTTCGGTCCCTAGATTTTAATAAAAACAATGTCGAAAAGTTCTTCAGCCAAATACAACAAATACAACAAACGGCAAGCAAAATGTGGAAGGTAATTGCTAGGAAAGAAAAAGGACAAAATGCCTCGCTAAGATGAGCTCTCTGAGGACGTTTAATTATGCTTGTTGTATGATGTATTGTTGTTTTTTCCTAGAAAAAAATTGAAATGACCAGCTCGTGCAGGGTGCCCCACCTTATATGCAGTCCACCCAAGTGGATGGGTACACTAAAACCTGTTCATGGAATGGATGACATAACACAGTTTGGCTTAACTAAATTAACAGGGCATGCATTTTTGAAATCACTGAGTGGCAGAATAAGGTTTCAGATTAACTGAGATTTATCCTTTTAAGCATAATATTTTAAGGTTGTTCGTTTTTTTTTTTTGAATATTTACTTTTGAGACCATATTAAATGGTAGGTTTTTAAGATAATGTTCAGATTATAACTGTAATATAAAGACAAAGATTTTAATTGCAATATGTAACTAGATCTCATATATTAAAATAATAAGTTATTACACTTTTTCAAGACTGCCCCAGGCTGTTAATAGTTTTATAAAGTTTATTTAGGCAATAGTGAGTGTACGAAGTTAGTGGCTATAGACGATTAGAATATAATATTTGTACGTCTTAAATAAAGTGTTGATTATATTCTAAGTTACATTGTTTTCTTGTTATTGAGGTTGAGATTATCAAATGTGCCCCTGGCAAGAGGCACATTTGAACAAAAATGTGTTTTTCAAAAATAATAATATTGTTACTTTAATAAGTAAAAACAAGTAAATTTAATTTTTATTTTGTAGCACAAATAGCACATCTATTCGCGAAAAAATTATATACCTTGATATGTAGCACAATATGACAAATATAATATTTTATTTAAAAAGTGTTCAAAGGTGCCCCCCACTCCCCTACTTCAAACACAAAAACTCTACCAAGCATCGACAATGAACATTTGAAGTATGTGCAATGCAGGCAAATTTTGGCATTAGTACTGACATATTTTAGTTATTGAAAAATATATAAAAAGGGACTCATATTAGGAACCCTCTAACAATTTTAATAGTGATTTTAGCTGAGCTTAATTTATTGTCTCTTTTACTGTAGATTTTATTATTATTTAGTTCACGTATTTGTCTAGCTGAAATCACCATTCTATATAAATCATTCTAAAATGATGAAAACCAACATAACCATAATTCTTTTTCCCACTTCCTACCTTAACAAGTTTACGAATTTTACCAGATTGAGGCGCATAAATCCATATTAGATAAGATAGAGCCCGCAACACCTCAGGTGGATGCGACTTTCCATTTACTGGTAAGGTGTTTTTTCCAATCACGTGGCAACTTTTTAAGGAAGAAGTCACAACTTATTAAATAAAACAATTAGAGGAAAACTGTTAACGAAATCCGGAATTTTGTATTTTAACATTTTTATGCATTTAATGTAGAATTTAGCTTCTCACAAACAGTCTAAAATGTATCCAAAGCATTTTGTGACTGTGTTTATAAAGTAGTTTAAAATTAATAATCATTCTGTATAAATGTTGGCAAAGTTTAGGATAACATATAAGTTGCTTGGTTGGAGGCCTCTCCCTTCTCCACACCTCTGTAGCTATAGTTGAGAAGAGGAATTATTACACGGTGACTTTTATTTCCCGTTTTGTGTAGATATATATTGGGTGTGCGAAAAAAAAAATGCTGGTTTCATTGATCGCATCGCTTTACTAGCGTTAATACCGTGCTATCAGAAATTTGCCGACAAAGAAATTTTTAGAGCAAACAAACCAAATAGATAAGAAATACTAAAAGGATGTCTAACTTCCATTGTCTTTATTTTTAACTTGCACAACGTTTCGGACAGTTGTATCACTATCAGGTGTAAACTCTTACACTTGATAATGGGTAATACAACTGTCCGAAACGTTGTGTAAGTTAAAAATAAAGACAATGGAAGTTCGACATCCTTTTAGTATTTCTATTGAATTAGTGTCTACCACCTTCAAGCAAACCAATTCATATTGCAGTAACAATTATGATATTTAACATTTTATTTTTAATATAAACATCTCAATTCGATAGTTAGTAGTTATTAATGAAGCGGGCAATAGACTTATAGAAAGTGAGGCAACCATATTATTCTGGAAAATTTGATGTTAGTATCATTTCATGTGAAACTGTATATTTATAAACACCTAGTCACTAAATGAAAAGGTTTTAAATCAATTTAAACTTTTTTGATTACGAAACCCATGCAGCAAACTATTTTAACTTCAAAGAAACTTAACTGTGCAAAATGATCAAAGCATCAACAGTTTTAGTGGCAAAATGTTAAAACCGCTTCCTGCAACCCACAATTTCGGCACAGCAGAATCACACATCCCATTTGTAGGCAATTAAAGGTAGCAGAATTCCCCACCAATAAGCATAACATATTTTCAGCGAGTATAAGTGACAGGCCAAAGTTTTAAAATCTGAAACGTACCACAAATTCATTCTTATAAAATATAAACTCGTATACATAACCTCTCAATACTATTCTCTCACTTAACAACTGGACGTTTTTAAAAATTGACACCATTTTGTACAACGAAATAATAAGAAAAGCAATTGGTAACTGACCTTACGATAAAACACAACCAGTACTTTCTGGAATAACTGAATTGTTTTCTGAAACACTTCCCGTCGACTTAACACTAACTTGGCTGATCTTCCTGTCAGAGTGTTTCTCGCCAATGCTATCTTTGCTGCCCGTCAAGCTTTTTTTACTCTTTGCTGTTGAGTTGACTTGGCTGGCGGTCACTTCTTGGCTTTGACTGGTAGTGCGCGACCTTGGACTCTTCAAACTGACCTTGTTCAAAGTGGCAGACACTGCTTGCTGATACTCGATAATCTGTTGATGCTGAATTTTGGTTTCCAGTATACGGGTGAGGACAGATATTTGGTTTTGTATCGCCAACATGAACGCTTTGTAGCCCAAACTGGAAAATGGGCGAAATAAAACAAAACAATTCAGTAAAGGCGGTTAAAATGCAGATTATAAAAAACAAATATACCCTATAAAAAAATTTTCTTACAAAAATAAATCTGAAGAAAATTTAAATGCAGTTTCAAAATTGAATAAAAACATGTAATATAAATTTTTATTTTTGATGGGGAAAAAAGTGTCACAATTGAGAAAATAATGTTAAGCCAAATCAGGAACTTTTATATCAAAAAGTATTTGACCACTTGGAAATTAAAAATACTAATTCACATATATTCATTAGCTGTAAGACTGGTCTTTCTTTTAGCGCTAGAGATTCAAGTGTCACAATAATAATGATGATTATAATAATAACAATTATCTTTATTGAGAAATAATAGTCAAAAACTGAAAGAAAATATAACTACCTAAATACTACAGATCTTAAAATGCGAAGCTACTGAACATTTTGTGAAAGACTATTTTTTTTAAATTTAATTTAAATTTTTCATTAAGCTATTAAATTGTGGTTGGCTCTGTCGATATAATTTGTTTTTGTTAATTTATTTAGTTATATTCATGTACACATCAACAGGCACTTACAAGAGTGCTTACTGACATCTAAATTTATAAATCTACATTACAAAGCAACATACATATTAAGTTCCATTAAAAAAATAGTACTTTAAACTAGTAAAACTACACTTTCACTCTTACAAGAAAGGGCAAGAGCATTTGTTTTAAATAAATCTCATACCAATCGTTTACACTCTCGAAACATAATGTTCAGAGGTGAACAACTTAATATATTATCACAGAATGTGTTTTGATGTGTATTTCTAAGCACATTTTTCGGGACATAATATATAAATAAAACATACTCCATAGCCTTTATGCTACTCAATCTTGCAACATTGCATTATATGAGATTATATACGTGCCCTACCAAACAAATATCTCAAACATGTTTTTGAACTTTTAGAATCATATCACCTTCTTCTGCCTGTGGTGTACTAAATGTGATCAGACCAAGGTATTATTTAGTCTGATGACAGTCTTTATCTCAAAATGCTTGGAATTTCTAATTATAAACGCTAAGGCTTTAGATGCTCACAATGGTCTGATAGTGGGTATTGAACCAAAGCATTTCTTGCAGAGGTACTCCATCTATCTATGTATTTACTATTAAGAACTAAATTATTTATGGTATAATTAAAATTTATTTAGTGTACTGCAAAAACAGTTTGTTTATTGTCAGTAGATGCTTGCGTAAAAGAATTATTACCAAGGCGTTTTATATTACAAGGTAATTTATTATAAAAGTTCAGATTTAAAGAATTTTTTATTGATTTATGAACACGGTATCGGAAAATCGTTAACTGGTGTGCATTACCGCTTGCGTAGGAATGAGTGTCAGACTGAACGGAAAAACTTAATTTATTAGAGTGAATCTTGATTAGATACTGAGAAACTGTGTTCTACAAGATTCTCTATAATCCAAAAGAAGAATTCGGAGAGCATTTTTTTAAAGATGAGACACTCTGACTGCATATAATATAATATAGTTCACACTATATGGTGAGCCCATATTGCATTGTAGAGTGAAACAAAGTAAAATTTTACGTCGCAAAATAGTGTTATTGTTGATAAGGGATCTCTTTTTTTTACGAAGTGAGTAGTTAAACCAATTTACCGGGGCTGGCATTTAGTACTAGGAACCTTTTTAGTAGGGAAGCGAATATTAATAAGGTTAGTAAAAGTAGTACATAAAATTTGCGATAGGTAGTTAACATCGTGGTTTGAATACACCAAACACCAATTCGTTTTGATTAGTTGACAAGAGAATGTTTAAACTTGTCAATGTTTCTAACGGTAAACCTGCTAGTGAAAATTGGAGTGGTAGAAGAATTATATTTTATTCTCAATGTTGTAATCTGACTCCTCCAAGTTCGTGAATATATTATCCAGGCATGTGCTGGATGGTAGTGTCACCCTGGTTGGTTCACCGACCAAAACAATGAGATGGAACGACTCCAGAACAGAAACTAACTCTGACAAATTAGCTGCATTTGAGAGGAAATTCACGTGAAAGTCTCATGAAAAAATTAGATTACAGTTAAGCTGAGATAAGTACGAAAGAAGTTGTTCAAATAATTCTAAAAAGAAATTAAATGAAAACAGTATTGAGTCGTTTTATATTTGTACCACAAAATTCGGCAATCCCTTCTTTACTAAAGTTTGAAAGGTCTAGATCGCTGGTCTTAAATAAATCATTTGAATAAATACATACCCCAACGTAATTAATTACTGCTGAAAAGCAAATAAAATTTAATCAAACATTATCTAAAAATAAGTTTACTCGGTCAGTCTTCTTTAAAAGAAATTGAACATTCAAATGCATCACAGAACATCGGTCAGAGATGTGCTGTCAGTATTAACACTATTGTCCCAAGCTAAAACGTTGTTGGTCGTAGACCTAATTGATTTCAGTCAATTACTCGGAAATTTAATATTCATGATCTGCACCTTAAACATTTTTCGATGAAAAAATCTGTTGATATGGGTTCCAGCTGGCCATAAAGTTGGATCTTGAGCTCTCTAAGGTTACTTTATTTTATTTAATTGTAACCTTAAAAGAGGAATAATATTGCGGATAACGGAAATCAACCTTTTCGCACACAACCTCAGAGAAAAGAGGGTTTAGGTACTCAATCAGTTGCGGAGTTGTAGTACCTGGGTGAAGCTTGTAAACATGCAGAAAAGCCAATTTTGAAGCAGCTTGAAAAACGGTATTAGTAGAAGAACCTGCAATAGTACGGCTTTTTTTATTATCCTTGCTTTTGTTTCACCACAACAAAAGGTTCAATATCTTCTTCATGCTCAGAGCTGTTATCCATTTCAAAAGGAAAAGGCTTTGGCTTCATCAATTGCAATTGAAACTTGTCTTGCCAAAAGAGGTTGATTAATTTTGGAACCTTCTACGCAGTTATGCGTACTGGCTCCCGTGTCCCCTCGCATTATTTGGTCGGACTTTAGACCGTCAGAGATACAGGACGCTGTTCCGTCTGGGGAGATTCTTCACCAACTGGATTCGATTGGTATTCGTATTTTCACCTTTGGTGACATTTTTGTTCTGTGGGCTCGGTTATTAAATTTTTCAAGCTAATTAATTTATCTTTTTCAACGTATAGGTATTCTATCTCAAGTTCTGTAGCGTCGCTTTCGATAACAATTTCGTTACCATCGCTAAAGGTCGATTCGAGGACGTTTGTGTTTTCACTTTCACAACATTTAATAAATTTTCCTGTTTCGACCAGAACGATGTTTTTTAATATTTTAGTACATATTAGGATGAACCACGATACACTTTAATCCACTCAATGGCGAGTAAAAACTACATGACATTTGCTTACATTTAGGTATAACTTTTTTTCACTAAACCACACTATAGCACTATTGAGGTCTTCCTGTAAATCACACTGTCTTCAAAACTATTAAATAATTTTAAACAGTTTAGTCGCAATCTGGTAAATCTTTAATATCAATGACAAACAAAATAGGGCCAAATTTGCTTCCCTAAGGTACACCTGCTAAAGGCATAAAGCTCTTTTAAAGATTTTGTTGGAGATTATGTTGTTTGTGAGAAAACTAAACTGCAGTAATCAAAAAAACTTACCATTCGGTGGTCGTCCAATAATTCAATAATAAAAGCCCCTGCGTTAGTCTGGACACACTTTCAATGGACTGATCTTGCGATTTCGCCGCGTTCACGGTCCTCAGAACTGCCAACGCGTCTCTCAAAAGGAGCGCGATCAATAAAGACCACTCCAAACAACTGGCCTCCATGAACAGTTGTAACAGATATCTGCAACGAATTTAATACTATGCGATGAACCGCTTGAGACACGCAATAACTATATTGTTATGGTGGGTCTCAAGTTTATTATATTAGTTTTTGACAGACTCTTCGTCTCCTGTAATTTTAACTAATTCTAAAATTGTAGCGCTCCAGGAACTCATTTTTTAAAAAAGTTAGTGGTCACAAACCGTTGCCTCAAGCTAAGAATTCATAGAAACCCTTCCACGACTCCGACCTCGTCTTTTAACATTGCTATCAGTTTGTGCAAACCGACTTAAGACTTTGGATATAGTTGACTAATTGACATTATATCATTCAGCAATTTATTTTGAAGTGTTATATAATTATACATAATACATATAATTCTACAATACCGACTTGATAAGGGTTTTATTGCCGTGGGCAGTTTATTTCCATAATTCCCATCAAAAGCGAATATGATATACTTTGAGACACACCATACCTCAGCTGAATTTCAGATCTATGGGAGCCTCTATTGTCGGAGTTTGATAATTGCTCGAGAATGTGAGTGGACGGAACCTCCCAGTTTTCGGTAGTCGGACTGCTTAGCAATTCACGATCGTCGCCCCACGTCGAACTGACCGTGCTCATCATCGAGTCGTCGAAGGATTTTGTTTGCAGAGCGGTTGAAGGTAACCCTAATTAATAAATTTTATTTATTTATCAACACGAGCACCGCTGACGATTTAACCTCACATTGATCGATTCTAATGCAATTCGACTGATTATTTTCAAAATTGTTACTCAAACGCGTCTCAGAATCCCTCTGTACAGAATGGCCAAACTGGACACCGAGTACGCGTTACCCGTTGATCTTTTGAAATGTATTAGATAAGTTAAACTGAAACCTAGCTGATTTACACCCAACATTTTAATTTAGCACCTACCTGAACCCTTTTGTTGTCTGTATTACTGTCGCACCTTCCAAAGCCTACTTATTCAAGTTAAAACTTCTATTTCTTCTTTTTGTTTTCAATTATACAAATATAGAGGGTGTCCTATATAAAAAAAATTTAACTTTAAAAATATTATATTTACACCATTCTGCTTATAAAGTTGCTCTGGAAACATTGTCATGGAAACACAGAATTTTCCATTATAAGAAAGTTCTAGCGTTTTAGAAAAACAGCCTATACTGAAATGGTACTATACTTTCATATGCGGATTTTACCATTATGTTTTTTGTGAAAATCGATTTCAGACAATTGACCCTAGTTTTCGCCCTATTCCCTGCAGACAGGCGAGATTCTAAGTCTCCAATTTGGCCCACTCGGTACTTTATACTAAAAATTACTTACCCAAATTTAGGTTAGCACTGAAACTATTACTACGTTCGCCGCTAAAGAAAAAGGACAGCTTCTTCCTCTGTGGACTCAAATTTACATGCTTCGAATTTAACAAATCCATATCCACCTCGTCGGCTATCTGACTAGACTGCTCGAGAGTATTAACAGGGCTCACCAAGCCGGTATAAGGGATCCCTTGAAAGCTCATATAACCGCTGTCTCCCACTCGGCTAGAAGACGCAAGATTAACGTCTAATTTTAGCGACCGCAGCTGATCTTCTAATACGTTCTCGGTAGGCGCCACCAACGGACTCTGGGGTGCTAAAATTGCTGTATGTCTCACTCAAACCGATTTGCAAATTAAAATATTTGCATTACCACTTTCGGTTTCCAAATTCATAAGCGCAGAAGGTGTAGGATATGGCCAATCAAACTCTTCATGCAAGTGTTTCAGTGCCTGCACAAAATCGTCCACCCTCGCGGCCCTCTCGCGTTCCTTGCCGAGCCAGGCGACCAAATGGAAGTCCAAATGCGCGGCAAAGTAGCCCAAATCCATGAGGCGCCGGGCTGACAACAACCGCCGCGCTTGTTTTTGCAAAATGACATCTATGAAGAATTCTTCGGCAGAGTTATTTGGGACGTGCCTACATTTTAAATATTGACAAAATTCGTTTATGTCTCATAAAGATATTGATATTGATTGAATAATAACAGCAATAAATTTACAATATATAAAAAGTCTTTCTTATTTGTAGCTACTATTCGGCTAAACAATGGATTTAAAGCTGTGTGTATTCTTAATCAAATTAAAAGTTATATAGTTAAAGGTTATATATATTCACACTGCAACTAACCTATGTTCTAATTCTGATAAGTCGCTAACTCACTCGGAAGTAATTTAAATACATATTTTTCAACATGTTTACCCGATTTCTTTTAGCCGTAACTAACTTAAAGTCTAAGAGTACTGAGTTATAGACTTTATGACGCAAGCAATGTATGTCGTTACGTAGACAACTGAATACTTTGACAGCACACATGTCCAGTATTCTAATTACGACTCACATTAACTATAAAGGGTGATGATTTGAACATAAATCTAATTATTGATTTTATGTACAATTACTCCATGGTCTTTTTTTATAACTGGTTATAATTCTTGCTTCATATAGCAAACCTTAAATGGACATCCGAACCAAAAGAGAGTTCCTACGTTATAAATAACGGTTTCTGGAAACGTCTGTTTATAATGAAGCACACTAAAGTGTTTATGAATCGATGAAAGTTTATTTGGGATTACCAAATGTGGTAATATTATGTAGGAAATATAATCCAACTTGGAGAAGTTAAAGTATAAATTCATGGTTGATGTAAGAATCCCTCTGAACATCTCTTTTGAAAATACTCCTCAGAGAAAGGGCGGTGAGTCACTTTTTTTCAAAATTTGATTTTATTGAAGAGACTGCTTTTTGGGGTTTGAACATAGATATTAAGTCATTAGAGCATTGATTTATATCTTGATAGGCTGGGACGATGTTGTCAGTGCTAGACACCGCCGGATTTTTTTTACCGATGTACCATGCAGAAATAACAAATAGATCTTTTTTAACTTTAGCGATATGGATTGTAATAAATGGTTTTTTTTCAATGTGACAACGTTACAACAAATAAACACTTACGCCAATGTAGGGGAGTTTTTAACAAAAGCGGTTTTTTGAAAGTGAAAAGCTGTTTTTCAATATTGCTATTACAAAGACTGACAGCAGAAATGCCACAATACTATGAAGTCATGTCATTTCATGTGTATGTAAATAAATCGTATTTCATATCTTATCATATCTCATATCATATTTCTTAGCCGGGTGTACATTTTTTATTGTTTTGTGTATTTATTATATTATATATTGTGGATTTCCAACGAACACTCTAATGCATCGCATGTAGTTTCCATTATCTCTAAAAGTGTGTCAATTTTTTTTTACCAACCATTCGTATAAGGCAACATTTCTCACTCCACTCGTCCCTGGCCAAAGTTGGACGTCTGTGGGTTTGAATCTATGAAATTGTTAGTGGTCGACTTAAAAATGAACCCTGAGTATCTCGTATAGTTAATAGATTAAAATTATTAAACCCATGTATCATTTTTTTTCTTCATATTTGGACTAGAACAATTTAAAATTTGACAACTCGGCACCATGGCAAAAAAAATCCAGTGGTACAACGACCATTTATACCGAACATTCCAAGCTAGTTTCCCGAATATCAGACAGCAACCATAATAATGAGTACTGTTTAAATTTATCTGACAAATCTCGCTAAATAAATTATATGGTGTGAATTCATTAACAACCTGATAATTAAGTAAAAAAAAAAAAACAATATATAGTCCAAGTTTTTTTTGTATATTTTTTTTATAACTAAAAACCATCTTGATAAAACTTGTTAGATTTATTTGCGATAATAAGGAGTTTCTTTTAGTTTAATAATAAAAAAAGGTTGTTGTCAGTCACCTAATTTAAAGAAAAATCTTAAAAAAAAAATATTTTCTTACCTCTAAACTTATGTAAAAATCTTATCATTTTTACACAAATAATCTATCCTGACTTCGGCTTTGGGCGACGAAAAGTACGTTACAGATAAAATAAGGTGGTTCATAGCTAACCCAAGTCAGTGTTGCTGGGCCTTACTCAAACACTGACTTGAGTAAGATGTACAAGTTAGAGAGATAGATATTTTTATCAGTTCTCACCCATTAACAATCAGAAATTTCATTAATCATATTATTATTTACATCATATACTGTTGATGGTGCTTCATGAAATCTATAACCTTTTGAAATTAGGGCATCACCATTGGCTAGATACCAGAAAGAAAGTAGCAGCATCACGGTATTTGCGTCCTTTTGTCCAAACTTGTGATTATGTTGTAAGTGTGCCATATTTTTTACGATTTGATACCATAAATTAATTTGTATCTTCAAAAAACTGCTCAAATAGTATCACTGCTAATGTTAGTCAATCCATTTATGGTACATTAAAAAAAAAACAATCACTTAAGGACAAAATTAAGCCACTCACATAAGTTACAATTCTAGTAAAAATAAATATCAAAAAATCCAACCATTTAAATGAACATTTGTGTGTAAAGAGTTGATGTGTATTGTAATATGTAACTTTTTATTTTCATGCATGTTCTATTAGCGACTATCAAAGGTCATGACTACAACGTCACTTGTAACTTGATCTTACATTTAGATAAATTTTTGTGTATAAATAGCCCTAACGTAATGTGTGCCGCCCAGTATTGCTTTTCAATAGTAAAGAAACTCATGAAAATGCAGCAATATTTATTTACACTACATTCTAAAGAGAAGCAGAGTTGATAAACTATTTGTAACGTAAATTGAAAACTTACTTTTGATCTACTTTTTCGCCCTGTATACAGTTAGGCATTGACTTTTTTCTATTGGTGTTGGGAGATTCTGGCACTACGGTCATTATACCCACGTTGTTGTTAGACTTCTCTAAAATTTTAGGCGAGATCGTTGTACTATATGACCTGACGCGGGGTCCCTGAACTTTCCCTAAAACCAGCGAGATATCTTCGGCGTTCGGGGCTACAGGGGGCGTTTGTGGAGCGAGGCTTAACTTATTTGGGAGTATGAATGAAGTGCGCGGCGATTCTATATCGTTCGGATCTAAAATCAATTATATAACTCAAAATGTCCCAATAATGATGAGGCAAAACGTTAGCACCTATAGCTCTAAGAAATCTAACCAGATCTTTTGCCAGTTCCCATTTGGACTGATCCAGAGCAGTATTCAACAGTAGAGTCGCGTATTGCCTGCTAACCGATGAAGTCTCCAGGTTCTACATACAGGAAATAAAGTAAGAGTAAACCAACACTTATCTCAACTAAAAAAATACCTGTAAAATAATGAGGTAAGATGCTGCAGTGTCCAACTGCCCTTTAGCCATGCACTCTTGAAACAAATCCTTAGGTTTGCCGGCCGCAGAAAACAAATAAGGCCACAAGGCTATCTCCGTCTTCCTAGCGCACTGAACCACGGTTTGGAGATAGACGGAGAACTCCATGATAAAATCGATAACGCTTGGGAGCTGGGCGTCCGGTATAGGCTCCTTACTAGTAGCTTCCTCTTCAAGCACCTGCGGGAGGAGTTAAAACAACTAATTCAAAGCCTCAATTCAGTATGAAATGGAGGACCGATGGTATATACCCAAAGCAAACCAGGAAAGTCCTAAAGGTGCACATTTTAAATTCGAATATTCAATTTATTACCTGCTTTTGTGGAAAATTAATTTTAATACATTTTTAGTTTACTTAACACGAATTAGAATTATGTCAAACCATAAGCAATATGTAAAAGGGTAGTTCAGATTTAACATTTTAATCACAACATGAAGGTCAAATGCTTAAGATTTTTCATATTTTGAGGATTTATGTTATCAGTAAATCTGTAATTAAATATAGAGTTATTTAAAACACAAAAACGGTTTTATGTTATAGATTAAACTGTAGTGATCACCTTAACCTCAATTTTTACAGGTAAGAAATTTGACAGGAAAAGCTGAAAAGGTGATATAGCAGTATTCAAAATTGGTTCCTAACAGGCTCCAAGTTTCTGGGCAGTTCACCAATCCTTTGAACATAATGTACTTGTAGCAAACATTACCTCGTGCAGTAAAAGTTCGAGTGAATGCGGAAAATAAGGCAAGCTCATACAGCTTTTGGCGATCTCCCAAGCGTGGTAACCCAAATTTCGACGTATCAATTGCCTTAAAACCTGATGTAAATAAACTTGACTCTAAAACAACACGTTTTGTTTATTTATGTTTGATTTGCATACAGTTGCTTACAGTTCTTTGTAATATACTAAATGGTAAAGAGAAGGGCGAATTTATATCGGATGTGTATAGTACAGTGTCATTTTCAGCTCCTAGGATAATGGCGTCTTCAAAGAGTATTGCTAAAAAATATACAAAAAAAAAATTAAATATTGAATTTGGTGACATTTCTTCATTTATGTCAATTTAAAATGACGAATCCTAATTAATAAAATCTGTTTGAAAATGTCATTAAATATGATTGATCGTTTTCTTTTGTTAACAATAATTCATCATCACCAAATTGAGATGAGAGCAAACATTAAACATTAAATATAAAGTGAAAATATTGTTACCTAGCGGATATATCTTTAAGTGGAAAGGCAGCATAATTCTTTTCGACATAAAACTATGAGGCTTCTCGCCGTCTCCGGGATATAAAGGCAGCCAAACTCTCATGCCGTGGGCTCCACAAAATAGCCATAAAGCTTCTGTCAAATGGACCTGCATTTATAATTAATGAATCAAGCGACGCGAAGGTTTAACATACTAAATTATTAAATCTTATAAAGTTAAATTAGAACAAACGATGTTGAAATTTCCAAAAATTAAATATTGGTGTATGACATCTGTTTCGGCAACACCGTGCCTTTATCAAATGAGACATTACAATCTCCCAACGTCTATAAATATAAAAGGGGGTAATTCTAAATTACAGTTATTGTGGGTTTTTTTAATTTAAATTTAGATTTAACAATGGGGATCTATTGGCCAATAAAATACCAAATTATACTCAAACTGTATAACCTCTTTTATGTTCCATGATGAGATTCTTTTTTTTGTGATTTAATTTTGTTTTTTAAATATGTTCCTATGGTGTTTACAGTTTTAAAAGCAATCCTGGGACCACATTCAAAATTTGAACATCGTTTGTTCTAAATTAACCCGTTAAATCAATTTTCATTAAGTAAAAGTTCAAAATCAAATATTAAAGTAGGGTTTTTTAAGCAATCAGTTGCAACACTTTTTAGTATTTTTGGTATTTTTCAGTAATTGTGAGATGCAGAGATTGATTTTCTTCACGTAACTTAAGTGTATCAGCTAAATAAGATTGAACTGCGCTTTTCAAGCATAATACTTCATATTTATAAGTGATTTTGTAATTTGTTCAACTTTAAATTACTCAGAGTACAAAAGTCAAATCACATTTTGGATTATGAATTATGTATCTTTTTTGGAGAACATTATTATTTTTTTGGTGATCTTACAAAATTTTTACCAATCTCATAAAATTGATAAACAATTCACTTTTTGCCATGATGAAAAACTCATTTCCAGGCATAGTTCATTAACAATTAAGCGAATAAGTACAAAAATTATATTTTAATAAAAAAATACCAAAGCAGTTCAGGAGCTATACAATCTGTAAGGTTAGGTTTCTAATATGCTGTGCCAATTTTGAAAAACGTAACAAATTAACCATAAAATATTTAATATTTTTGCAACATTAAGTTTTTTTAAAGTGTACCCATAATTGAAATGCCCAATTACATTTGAGTCTTCTATCCTATTTTCAGATTCCATGGTACAGAAATTCAAAGGACACTTACTTTATCAGCGTGCCTCCTGGAAGGCACCCACACGTTCTCCACACAACTGGCAAGTACGTTCGGCATTAAGCAAGCATATTTCTCCCCATTCCTGAGCTCCCTTTGCACCATATACAATCGCCCACTAACATTTAGGACCATACTCTCGGAACACTTATGACTGCCACTCTTACTTCCCGTCTCTGTGCGCAAAGCCGTTAATGTGACAAAAGTTATACACGAGGGGTGCACAGCTAAAGCGGAAACATCTATGGACTGCATTTTAGCTATTTCTACATCTCCAACTAGAAATATGATAAAGCTGATAAAATAATAATTAAAAATAGGTGCCATCAACCTGTATCAATTTGTTCCAGGCGCCATATTGAAACCAGTGCGTTGGCCGCAAATGTTACCAACAGGTCATCCAAATTATTAATGAGTAAAATGGGTGAGTCAACTGAAATGATCTTTGCGAATTTATTGTCTAGTTTTGATTCTTTGGAGTAGAACCTGAACTCGTCAGAGTTGTCTACAATGCTGTAACAGCCCAAAATTATGTAGTCCCTCCACCAGAGCAGACCACCAGCCACAATAAAATCTTTTTCTTGAGTTTCATTACCAAACAATTTCCATCGCCTCGTTTGCATGGAGTAATGGGCCAAACCTGTTCGCCCAGCTATAGCTATGTTTTGACCTTTGGAATCTATAGCAGAATACTACAGGAAAAAAACACTTTAATTTTCATTTTTTAATTTATAAATATTATTACTTTTATTTGAGGAAGATGACACTGACAATGTTGAAGGGGCATCCACTACCTATGTGTACAATTTGTCCCACATTTCGTCCTCATTTTACGAATTAATTCACTTTTCGTCCTTCTTTTTGAATTGTATCACAATATCAGATCGGTGCCTTCTCACTTGCTTTTGCGATAAATAGAACAGTGAAGGTAACTACGTTTCATTGTGTGTCGAACGTATTATCGCGAGGCTGTTAGCAACACATTCATAGAGGTGAAAAACGTAAGAAATGAAACTTTACTTACATATACAGCGTTACCACTAAAGTCCGCATTATGTGGGAATAGTTTTTATTAATAAGTTTTGGCAAATTTTGATCCTGGGAATAGTTTGTCTTTGGTCTTTGCCTATGAAAATTGACACAAATTATTATTGAAGTGCAATGGCTTCGAAAGTCTACATGATTTGCAAAGACGCAAACGTATGGTGTATATTCCGAGCGAATATCAATATTTAGAATTTTAATAGGACCCTTAAGCTATTGGAAATTCTAGAAATTCGAAGAAAGTACTGATCAGCATGATAAAGCAACAAGAAAGGAAGGAATTAAACAAAAATCTGCAAATCATTATAATTGCCAACTAAAAAAATATATCTAGTTTCCATTATTTTTTCTACATTTTCCTCCATACTACCAAGAATGCATATTAATTATTTGTATTTTACGCATTTTCTTTAATTTCCTGTATAGTTTTGCAAAATTATTTGACAAACTCCTAGTAATTGAAATATATATACACAAATTTTAGTGGTGGATGCCTCCTCAGAAAAAGTCGTCTTCAATTATATGTTTCACATATTGGGTGAACCAAATACTCACCCTTATAGGCCAGTTTGTAGCAGAATATGTGGAGGGAATGGGTATAACAAACCACTGCCTTCCTTCCGCTAGAGTACTAGTTAAAGACCCATTTTCACCAAACATACCGTCTTCTTTGGTAGTCTTTTCTGAGAAAATTTTTATCAATGTGTCTGCAGAGTTGATGTACAGTTTATCTTCTCCTTGAAGGTAAAGATGGCTCTGGTGACTCTAAATATAACATCCAGTAATAATATATTTATTACAACAATTAAGTCCTTACCATGCAAGGATTTATGGTCAAAGCACTTTTGACAAAATCCATTTGCAACAAACAAGTTGTATTATCACTATTTTGGTATAATGATTCATCACTGTGCACCGAATTGTGAACTTTTCTAACCATCCACAACTGGTAACCTTCTGTTGCAAAATCCTAAACGTCAAAGTAAGTAAGTAAGGGCAATGAGATATGGTATTAGGGAAACAGTTCTAGAAATTTGAGAAAAAAAACTATTTAGTAAATCTGTGAAAAAATGCTAAGAGAAAGTACTGTTTTAAAGCTGAAACAAATTTAAATGATTTTTATTTAATGTAGTGGGTGTTGTGATTGCTTAGCTCGCCACCAGGTGGTGCTTTCTGACCTATTCGCAAAAAAAAAAAGATTTTTTTACAAAAAGAATGAATGGTATGACATGACCTTTTTTTATGTCATAAGAAAGTCAATAAGGACCCAACGACCCTGTGAAAACCGCCTCTCAATCTCTTTATCCTATCCTAAAATATGTCTAAAAAAAATCTAACACTAAAATTCAAGAAATTCAAAAATAAGCATTTTCTTTTGGACTATTTGCTTAAAAAAATATTTTTGAAATTTCTACTACCGCCCGTTTTCCTAATACCGAATCTCGTTGGTTATAGTGGGACATCCGGCATATACTCATAAGGATTGCACCGATTGAAGGGAATAGGTTAAAAGTGTAAGGATTCAATTTCATCCACAGGGGGTTTGTTAAAGTATTGACCTGAATTTAAAACAGAAATTCAATAAGTAATAAGTCAAAATATCCTTTAAGTGCTAGCTGATGTGGTATTAAATACTATACTAACCATGGAAATAATCTGTAGGGGATTAAATTTGTGTATTTCAATATTCAAGCCATAATCCCAGCCAAGAGAACACATCAGCAAGGCTCCAAACGTAGACCACACTGCTATACCACCCTGAGCCCACGAGGCTATTAAGGCACAGCCATCAGGAGTCCACAATACTTTTCCTATCGGCCCCGGACAACCAGGATAGTCCTTGCTGCTTAGAATGCAACTATGGGAAATTTCTAGCCCTCCTGTACTGTCATCTACATAATATATTACACATTCTGAGCTAAAAAGAAAAAAGAAACTTTGGAAAACACAAATGCAGAGACTTAAATTTGCTGATATCAAAACAAATTTCATTCTATTATATAATTTTTCCTTAGTAGTCTTTATATAAACATATATCTAGAACTGAAGATCCTAAATCTCTTAAAAATGTAAAGAGAACTATTTTTCGAAGAGTCCATAGAATTTTTTAGTTATCAATTTTGATTTTGATAACTGCTTAAATATAATGATGCACACAAACTTACTTGGCTCTACCAAATGTAATTAATCTGAATTTATGATTTATAGCGGTGCAAGTTGCATCTTCAATATTTTGAGCCCATATCCCTTGTACTTGCTAAAAGCACATCAAAAAAGTATTGAAAATTGCTCAGAAAATGAAACTCACATTCGGATCAAATTTCAAATTTGATGCTGTTAAAAAAGCAGCTCTTCCATCATTTAGCACTACTGAGAAGCCACCGACCAACGGAGAATATTCCATGGCTGTTATGTAAGTATTTTCTTCTACTATTGGTATTGCTAGAAAAAAAAACTAGACTCAAATAACTAAAAAATATAAAGGGTGTTCAGAAAAGTTAGAAGGTACAAAACAACTTAACTGAAGATAAACAGTTACTATAGTTCCGTATAACATCCTTACTGCGATTATGGAAATGAAAATACTAACAGATATAAATTTTTTGGACTTCCTTGATCAATCAGGGTTATTTTCTAATTTTCAATTTTCCATAAGTTAATAATTTTTTTTGTGTGGAAAAAGAATCATCAGTGGAGAGAAATAAGTATCACTAGAATTAATTTGTCCAATGACAGACAAAATCCTATAATATTATATCCAAAAGCCAATATCAACAAAAATAATATAATTTCAAAATTTGAAAAATAATGCAGAAAATTTGAATATCAATAATTTTTAATTCATTAGATAATAATATCATTGAAGCATAGAAAAAAAATTGTTATAGTATGACCTCTGTATTGCATTGAGGGTGCTAAGCAGGAACTATGTTCATAGGATCTTTATGCCAATTTTACCAGACATGCTGTACATAGATACATATTCACCTTTAGACACTTGCTGATTAATACAAAACGGAATCCTCCTTAGATCAAGGGTATAATCCCTATTTTCCATTCCGTCCCATTTATATCTCAAAACATGCCCTTCTGTGGTTGCCAACATAATCTCTGTCATTGTGACACAAACTATTTCTGAGATTTTACCATCCCAAATCATTACTTCTTCACTCTATAAGCAAGTATTAATACAAAAATAGATTCCTATAATTGAATAAGGTTTTACCACAGATAAAGAGAGTGGTGGAATGGTCTCTTTGATAAAAAGTTCAGCACTATCCCTTCTTAGATTTGCATGAGGTGAATCAGTTTGAACATATAAACCCTTTTGATTAACTAATACATTTAATTTGTAGAATAATAAGTGCCCTTCGGAAGTCTGAAATGTATTGAGTTAAAATACTGGTAGCTTAAAACTTTCAATGCCTTTCTTACAGCAATGACAATTTTCTCTGAATCGGGCTTCCACTCAGCTGTGATGTTTGTACCAAACTTTTCCAAAGACTGCGTGTTTCTTCGATGAAAAACGATTGGTACACAGGGCTAAAAAATACAGAATAAAAATAAATAAATTATCAAAAATCTCAGTTCACCTTGCAAAACCAAATAGCTAAGGCATCGTCAGTCAAAATCGCTACCAAAATCCTGTCTCTGTTGCAGGTTACCTGCCGCAGCGTCCACTGACCCAATTCTGGGGTATGGATCACTTTGGGCCAACCGATTGGAAAATACATTGTAGAATGTTAATATACTTTAAGGTACTTTTCATTTATTTGGCTTTTAAAACAGCCAGATTCTTGAGTGTTTTTGAAAACATCATTTGACTTTTATATTACACTTGAACGCGTCAAAGAACGTCAGATTTGTGTAGGTTATGTTCATAGATAAAAACTTATGTTAAATGCCAAATGATTAAGTGACCCATGTAACAAAGAATAGATAAAAAAAACTTTTAGAGAACAGCACCATAGATACATTATTAAGGCGTCGAAAAACTTAATTAATTTTCTCTATGCTCACATTTCAGCATACCCAAACCAAAGTTAGGTGATTTTCGGTTTTTCGTTTTAGTGTATGCCTAATATTATGTATTCATTGAACAATATTTGTATATAAACGACTTGCACTTTACTAATAACAAATTGTTAGTTTTTTTAGCCCTAAACAATATAAAAACACCTTTAAAAAGTATTATTAGTCAAAAACTCTTAGTTAGGCACAAATATCGTGCAATAAGTTACATGATATTTGGATGGCAATAAAAATTGCGCAAATAATAAAAAATGACTTAAAACAAAACGTAAATTAAATCTGTATTTGTATTGCACTTTTCAAAGCAAACAGCGAAACGAAAACGAAGCAATATAGCCGATTTCATAGCCACAGTCCCGTAGGAGACGCTCCGATAGAGCCGGGGCTTGCTACCTGGAACTACAGAACTACACGCATGCGCTACAGGTTGCGCCCAAACGCTGTTCTGCGTTTTTTCTACTTTTTGGAAGCTTTCTTTTTTCTATTGTGCAGATAGTTTGCATTTATATACATATATTGACACCAATAAACATGCATCAAGTTTTAATATCGCAAAACGTGCACACATTTGCCATACTATCACTATAAGCACCAATAAACGTAAGTAGTAATTATATTGAGTAAAATAACTCCATATAAAATCATGTATATAATTTTTAAATATGATTAATAATCAAGATAAAAATAATATATAGTTCACCCTTAAAAAAAAAGGTATCAGAAGTGTAAAAAAACAGGGTACCTAGCTATTATATCTAGTAGCCTTATCACCTCACATTTTTATTATTTATTTTAAATTCCAGAATCAGCACAAAACACAAACTTAGTTCCAAAATAGCGGAGCTTTTATGATGGTAATGAAGTAATGTTTAAATATTTCGACATGCTTGGGTTACCCTGTGTATTTCGTGGGGAAACTTTTGAATACTATATAATATCTAAATAAAACAACACTCAAAATCTAAATGTAATTAATATTATTAAAATTGCAGCAATTACATTGATGTTCATGGAGTGAGATAATCGACTCCCCCTAAATGGCCATCATCTCTAGCCCGTTGTGCCGCCAACCTTTCACGATCATATCCATCTATTCCCAAGCCTAACCTCTCTATGTGGCTTTCTCCCAAAATTCCATTCAATTCCTGGTACTGTCTCGAGCGTCTGATGCCAATTTCTGGATCAAACGGCCAAGGCATTGATTTATGCAAAACTGGGTGTCCTGCTAGGTTGAACTGCACCAAATCACGCACAATCGTGAGAGCGGCATCGTTAGATGGGAAATTGTAGGCTATTAGAAGAATCTAGAACGATAGACATACTTATGTTTATAGACTCATAAGTTTATTTAAGGTTGCTATAGCATGAGTATCGTTTATTATTTTTTTGTTTCTTTATTTCAAATCGAATTAAAATACATTTGTGTTTCCACTTTTTCCACGCTATTCAATGAATTTAAACATTTTGTAACCCGATGCAACTTAAATACTTACAATTTAATACTGCATTATGCAACAACGGCATTTGACACAAGCGGAGCGAGTACTTACTAAACGAGTGCGTCAAAAAGTTTACCTTACGTGTTACATACTATACTTTTTCAACGACCATTAGTTTCGTTCTTATATCAATGGTCACGCGAAAAATGTACCCAAAAACCAACGGTAGTAGAAAATAGTATAATATGTAACAAGTGTGGTAAACGGTATTTGAAAATCAATAAGAAAAAGATCCTCTTTCAAAAAATTAGTGCCAACTAAATGCCTATTATTCCACCTCACAAATTCATAGACCACCATTCTGATTTCTCGTGATTCCATCTTCGTGCACATTCAAATTACAATAAGTAATGGAAATTGTGCCCAGTCAATAGACATAAAATATCTATCATCTCTAAATACCATAGACAATGCAATAAAACATTCATTTAGATAACTATAGGACACCCTAATACCAACCATTTGATAGTATAATCCCTGGTAAGTTAAAAAATTTGGTATTCCATTTAAAATAATCACGTTTTTTATAGTTGGGATATAAAATATGCTATAATGTTACACCCTACTGTCAATTTTGCTGACACAATTTATATATATTTTATGTATACATTCAGGAAAAGAAAATTAGATTATATTTTGAGTATCACAAATCTTATTAAAACGCACATTTATTTTGGTCGTAGAATCCAAAAATGCTATATAATGAGAGGTCCATTTAAAAAAACGAATTTGATAGGTACTTTTAACACTTTAATTAAAAAAGTGTCACTTTTTGGAAACCCTGTATTTTGACCACAACAATTCATGCCGTATAACGTGAACAACCCTGTAAGTATCGTAACCACAATTCCAGTTATTAAAAGCATAGGAGCACGATGCACTCTATTTCAAACTTGTAGTAAAAAACAACTTACCAAAGAAATGGTCACTTTCATTTTAAGGCGCACTTAAAATTCGTGGCGGAGCTAAGTACCTAATGGATTAATTTGCACGTCAAAAAAGTGAAAGTGCACGAGAACGCTGAGTGTATATGTATGAATAGTTTCGACCCCGACTTTTCCATGTTGTTAAGAATTAAACACGCTCATTCATGCAAAGACGATTGAGTAAGATGGCAAAATGTGACAATTATTATAATAAAAAAATTATTGATGGTTAAAACGATACTAATCGATAATCGATAAATTGCCATATATGTGTACATAATTAATTTACTGTTAATAACTATACGAGATGTCTCGCGAGTTTTTATCACACAAAACTTGTGGATTCCTCCTGTGTCGGTTGTTGATGAATCGAACTTCCTAACATTGGGCCAATCATTCTGTTGGCTTCTTCAGAGCTTAACTAAAACTGACTCGCATTCTACTCTGTACTTCCTTAGCTTGCGGAGTTATGGGAGAGGCATGAACATGGTGTCGGATAACTGATTGCCTTATTGGTGGCAGCCTTAAGACAAATAAACTCATTATCAGTTGCCGAACACAATCATGAAACCTGACACAAAATTTTATTAGATAAAATTAAAATTCTTGCATGTAATTAATTCTTCTACAAACGATAGTCTATATAAATCTTAACCACGACTCAGGTCTTTACCTGTTTATGTTAAATGTTCATGTTCTCCCCTCCACAAACAATATATAAGCATGTATGGTCTGTTCATAGATATAAGAAAGTGACCAATTGATTTTGAATGGGATTATCCAAGGGTTAACATTAACATACAATGCAACAAGATTATTACCTAAAGTTTCGGAATTTAAATTCAGGTAAAATTGTGGTCCGTAATAGAAAATAATTTTATACCTACCTGTGTTTAATATTCTTTGGTTTGGTGTACTACTTAGTTTAAGTTTATTAGTAATCATTCTTATTTCGTGTGTAATACAACGTGTGTTGAATCGTGTGCGAATTATGCAAAATATGTGCGAGTCTAGTGTATCTCAGGAGATGCTCCCGCCCAAATGTAGAAAACACTATTCTATTGAGACTAAGGAAGTTATAAACAATATTTATTTTACTCTCATTGAACGTGGTGCCAGCAGAAGAAATGGCCACATTGACGAAAATTCAAACATCAACTGTATGGAAAATTGTGAATAATCCCATTTCAGCGACGAAAAAAAGAAGCGATGCTGATATTTTCTCGAGTGTAGATGAAAGTGATCAAGATATAATACGGGGTAAAATTTACCAGTTATACGAGGAACAAAGCGTGCCTACATTAGATATCTTAATTAGGAGCCTTGAAAAAGATGAAACCGGTGTTAAATGTGTGTTAAAGGCAAGTTTTAATGGAATCTTTTAGAATTCGGAAATGGAGACTGGAATCTAGAAAAAAATAGGATTTTTCAGAGAACAACAAAGGCCAATTATTTACTTGGGTTGACTCAACTGATAAGTGGAAAACAAACGCGCCATCAAAAAGAGGTAAAAGAATAACTATTTTGCATGCTGGCTCTAAAGATGGTTGGATTCCAAATGGACTTTCTCCGTCTGCGGAAAATATTAAAGATTCTTCTCTGGATTACCATGAAGACACCACCGCTGATTTATTTGAAAGTTGGTTTAAAAACAAACTAGTTCCAAACATTCCTCCTAATAGCGTCATTGTAATGGACAATGCAAATTATCACAGTAGACAGTTGACTAAAACCCCTTCCTCAATCGTATATCCATATTGGAAATAATATAGAACAAATAATAATTAGAACAGGCGATGATAGCGATAGTGATACTGATATATTATGTGAATAATTTTAAGTAATTTAAGTAGGTAATAAAAATACATGCATAAATAAATAATTATTGTTTAGTATCTTTCCTAACAAAACCCCAAATAATTAAATTCTAAGCAAAGTACGGACCTTTTCGGCCATATTTCATTCTTACAGCTTGCCTGGATGTTTCCTTAATTCGTATCAATTTAGTCACTTTCTTATACCTATGAACAGACTTTACACATGCAGTAGAACGCGAGCCAGTTTCAATTAAGCTCTGAAGAAGCCAACGTTAGCAAGTTCTATTCAACAACAATCGACGCAGGAGGAATCCAGAAGTTTTGTAAATAAAACTCAAGTTATCTATTGCTCTTGTATATCTTACAGACCAAACAAGCTGACTTAAAATGAGAAGTATACTTTTTATTTCTGCTTTTATTTTAGATATCGGCATACATTGAAGCAAAATAGAAATATAAAAGAATAAAGGAAACCCTTTTCCACAAAGTTTTACACAGTTTTTCGCATTCAACTGATTCGCCTAGTGAAAATTAAATGTTGAAGGAATATTTGTTATGATATGCTATTGTAAGTCAGGATTATCGAACTTTTTATTCGAAAGAATATATTCGTATAATATTCTCGGATTTTCTTAAGTCCAACAGTTCAATTGTTTCTTAAATTTCTGCAATTTTGTCTTAATAAAATAATTAATTAAATTACTTAATTAATTAAACTCGATTTCATTGGTTCCTTGAAAGTCACAAGACAGATGCGCCGTGAAATCATCAAATATGAGACATACTTTACCAGCAAACTTATTTTAATATCATCGTTTCCTTTTCAATTCCTTTTTTAAACGAGCGCATTTTCAATCGAAGATCTGTGTCCATATAATCAATAACATACTGGATCGCAACAAAAAATCTGGACAACCCGTATACCTTATAAAGGGAAACTGTTTACCTCGTCTGCGACTTTCACTTTTGGAAGCGGTGACATAGCGCTTTATTACTGTAAATTTTATCGAAGGCAGTTGGTTTAAAAGTTTAAACGTAGGTCAAAATACATAACCACGAGATATTTTTCTTAGCGGGAAAAGTTATTGAAGAAACTATGGTGAATAAAATATTCTTGGCGGTAAGTATTTATTTAGGAGCTTAATTTATAACTAATAAATTAAAAATTTAGCTTTTTATTTTGTAAAAAAATTATTAACAATAGCTTAAAATTAGATAAGAGCGTATACTTAGTATTGCAGTATATCGTCTTGACTTTTGACGGCAATTATCGAAATAACTTGTCGACGGCAATAAAACACCTGTCTTGTCGATATGGTAACACAGAGCATCAGAGACGGGCTCAAAATATGAACATTAAATATATTATTTTCATTTAGATGTAACAAAATCACACTAATACTAATGGAAAATGCAATGACACTAAATATATACAAATTATCAACAATCACCTATACAAGTACGTTTTTATTAAAAATTAAATGAAAACAAGAGTCGACGTTAAGATTCGTTATAATGGACTCTATGTTATTTTGTATGCAAATTTAAGAATCTTCAATTTTTAAAATGTGCTATAAAATTACTTTTTTAATTAAATTTATTACACTCGAACTTAAAGTAGAAATAATATTTTCTGCTCTTATATTTGATTTTACTTGGTGCCACAAATGTTCTAAGAGGTTGCATATGCCTTGATAAAGAGGAAGACATAAAATAGTATACTCCATTATTTCACCTATACTATCACATACTTGTTATGTTTTAATAGCATATGTCCTTTCTTGTAACTGGATTCAAAGTACAACTACTGAGTGTCAGTTTTTGCACTAGATGAATTTGGTGCTTTTTGTAGCTTGCGGAATATGTTTTAAAAAATAATTTTGAAACCAGTTTTCACTAATATCTTGTTGACAATCTTAAAGTCGTTATAGTATTCTTCGCAGTGATATACTCGAGACATATGGTAAACCGGATTTGTCAAACGCCAAGATGATATACTTTGAGACCCGCTATACCTATATGTCTCACATTTTTAAGACTCTCCGATATAAAATTTATACAGACATCTCAAAAGTTAAATCATGCAATCTTTATTTGCGTTTAAATTTATTTTCACAGGTATATGTGTTGTAAGTGAATACCTAATTTTATTAAGAGAAAAATAACTTATAAAGCCTTAGCTACTAAAAGTCCAAATTCCTTTCAGATAATCTTCACATTTTGGGCATTATTTTATGCGAACGCTTTGCAACCGAAAGCACCAAATTTTCAATATTTCGAAAGGTATGTGAAATGTGTGAAAGGAAAGTGAACTCGATTTAAATTGAAAAATACCAATTTTGAAGGAAATTTTATTTAGACGAAGACGAGTAGTAATAAGAATTCTTTTCTTTGTCATACATGTTAATATTAAAGGCAAATAAGTGTAATGAGCGATTGTTTAATATTACTGTCCAATTCTGGTATCCGCTTGGGTTTTTGTTAAGTCATGTACCTCAGGAAACTCTGTGAAATCATTTAAATCGTTTATCCTTCTTTAAAATAAGTGGTTGTAACTATTGTTGATTGTGACAATGTTTGGTATAAATATTAAATAAATTAAACAATTTATATAAATATAAGAAAATACAAATATGATATAATTGTCATTAATATTTTGGCTTTGAAGTTTAAGTTTATTATTAGTTGCTAACAGTTTTTATAATTGGATTTGATTTTTAATTTAGAATAGGTTATTAAATTGTGGAAAAATTGAATTAACTAATATCTTAGCTTACTAATATTTCTTCGCTTATTGAGAGCATTTATCTTTTTTTCGTTTTCGTTTATTGCTAATTTTTTATAATAATTATATTGTGTTAAAATTTTAGTTTCTTGAAAATTAAATTCATGTTTTGTTAAATTTTCATATTTATGTAAAGCAGATGATACGTTTTTAGTATATTTATGTCCATTTATACGATTTTCCAAAAGTTAGCTTGTCATTCCAATATATTTTTTTGGTCAATTTAAACAAGGTATTGAATATATTAATTTACTTTTAACTGGAATTTCACTTTTTAATGCAGTAAAAATTGATTTTATTCATTTGTAAGATTGGTAACCAACCGTGCTACACAACCCACATCTATATAGAAATTTTATCAAAAATTAAACAAATTTTATTTGAAAATCATTTCTCTGAAAATAAACATGCTTAAACAGCGAAATAAACATATAATTTCTAAATGTGATATCACAGTGTGACACAAATTAATAAAATCAGTTTTTACTCCATTGACAAGTAAAATTCCAGTTAAAAAAAGTCAGATGTTGTATGTTGAATACCTTGGAATGACAAGCCAACTTTTAGAAAAACATATAATTGGACAAAAATGTACTAAAAACGCATCAACTGTTTTACATAAATATCAAAATTTAGAAAGTAATATTTTAACTCAATTGAACTGAGGTGGCTTTTACTTGATAACAATCCATTGAACACAATTAAATTAGAACATTATTTTATTTATTAGTTTATGACAGTTGTTTCGGTAACACCGTGTCTTTATGAAATACCATATACATTACATACAATACATATAAATATAAATATTTGATAAAGGCACGATGTTGCCGAAACAGATGTCATAAACTAATAAATAACTGCAAAAATCTGACCATATTTTGTTCTAATTAAATTATTTTTAACCTAAGTTAATAATTATCAAAAAATAGCAATAAAAGAAAGGGTTCAAATTAAGAAAGCTGTAAATTAGTAAAAATATCACTAAGGTAAGTAAATATTTTTATATGAAATGTTTAATTTATTTAATATTTGTATGTATTTTAGATTCTTGATAAAAATTCAGATTGTGATCGAAACATTAAATAAAACCTAAACCCAAGATTAACTCCAGTATTATATATATACGAGGTTCAAGAATTAAAAGAAGCTGTTATAAAAGAAAATTTATTTATTGCATATTACCAAAGTATTACATGATCTGATTTTGTTTTATGAATAAATAACAAGTCATCGAGTTAATAAATAATTAAAACATATAAATATGATAATATAAATAACGTATTTTCATGTATTCACTAAAATTATTAAATCGATTGATTGGTTTTAGTATTTTTCAAAAAATAAAAAATATTAGTTAGATTTACAGATTTGTAGTAAACAAGTCTTAATTTTATCTTATTTGATGGTTTTACGGCGTATCTCCGTCAATAACAAAGTTACCGTGTTGCTACATTTTTTATCAGTTGAAAGGTGCCGCAAACAGAAATGTCATAGCTATTTTCGATTTTTAGACGTAGAGTGTTTTTGAAAATGTTGCATAGACACCCTTTCTAGTTTGGTTATGGGTACACTTATTGAAAAAGTGAAACTGGTCTGGGTAGTGGCGTAGTCAGTTTTCTTTTTTTTTGAAATTCACAAATATACAAACTAAACTTGTATTTTTTTTAATGGAATAGCCTGTGTTTATTTTAATAATTTTATTAGGCTTGCTATGAGCATTTCAAATGCAAAACGTATATCTTTCATTTTGTTTTTGAGTAGACCATGCGAAAAAAGGGGTCCGTTTCCTAATATATTTTTGTTGTGAAACACTGAGGACATGTTATAATTATTATTGTTATTTTTGACTTCAGTCCTTCTATTACCGTTTATGTTATAATTTAAAATATGACAATTATGTATAAGTTTATTTTGACAGGTCACTAACTTTTTGTGTTCCATTAAAAAATACAAGTTTGGGTTATACATATATCAAAACTTATCAAGTTCAGAAAAAGACTGACTACGTTACTACATCCTTTGTCAAAAAAAACCTATCCAGACCAGTTTTCACCTTCTCGATAAGTTTACAAATATCGCAAAATAAAATTGCAAAACTTTCAAAATCATCCTGTAACTAAAATTCCAATATAGGTATGAGATTTCTGTTTGTGCCATCTTTCATTTTATGAAAAAATTGCCACTAGCCGCTTAGAATCTAAATATTTGAGGTTTCTAAGTACCTAAAATTCATTTTATTATTTGCAAATATTTAATGAACATATTGTTTGATCGTCAAATAATATGTAAATGATTTTAAAAAGAATCATATTAGTAAATATCGTAATTAAACAATGAGCAAGCTATGTTTTCTTAAGGTAAAATTTGCCTCACGTTTCTAGCACGCCGCCCTCATTCCAGTTTAGATCGAGTTCACTGATCATTCAAAACTGAATACAGTGCAGCAGTGAATTTTTCTTTGTATTTGCAGGCCAAAGTATCGTTATCCATATTATGATGAAAACGGGAACGGTAAACTTCTTTACGGATATGGCGACGACAAACTGTATCAGTACAAAGTATTTACGCCACTGGAAGGAATCCATTAGTACCTAAAACTCATTAATCCAATTAAATTTGGATTTTTAGATTTTCATGTATATAATATATAAACGATAATGTACGTAGTTACGTAGTTAGTTCTGACTCATTTAAGCGGCCTAATTATATTATATCTAGAATCGCGTGCCCAGTGCAAATTTATTTAATATTTGTTGTTAAAATATTTTTTACAATATAAAGTGTTTCAATAATTTTTACGTGTCTTAAAATTAACAATTTAGACGTGGTTTTTATTCAAGCGACACTTATTGCAGGAAAAAATGTTAATGTACTTAGGAATTAAAATTTGGAGTGATTTCGTTATTTTGTTGGTATTTTTTTAAAAAATAGTTCGCGATTTGACATCAGTGCTTTTAGCGTTTCATCCGATCAACATTAAACGAAAAGCTTACCGATTAAATATTAAATAACAGAACTCTAGCAATAATATGATTGCAACTTCCTGACAAACGAGTTTAATTGCGAGCAAAGCGATTTACTGATACTCAGCCTTCTGCAATATTTAATATTTCTTTCATAGAGAGCGCTTTTAATTTTTGCTAGTTTGAAGGTACAATGCGAAAGTGTCCTGAGATATTGTTTTGGGGCTATTTTCTACAAATCACGCACTACCAAAACCGTTAACGGTGCCACGAATAATGCTAACCTGCTGCAGATTCAGGTAGATTGAGCAGGCTAAAGGAGCAAAGGTAATAGCATACTGAATTGCAGAATTAATTGGCACTAATATTCATTTCTCGAAATAATGGGAGCAGTTCAAAAAGGGCAATGTCTAGTTCATTTGACAATAACCATCGGATCGCAATAAGTGGCGTAAAGACCAATAAAGCCTATCTTAACTCTCCCGAACTAGGACCGTTAATCTGTAGACACAGAAAAGTACTTTCGAAATAAACATTTAAAAAATGGTGGGATTGCATGTTTAACAAAATATGCCCAGATCCGATTAAATTTTCTGCGATAAAACGAGTTCAGTAAGTGCACAAATGGCGCAAAATGCTGCTAAGTGCATCAGATTTATGTGACTCCTTAGACAAAAATATCAGTACCCTGAGCTGTAATATTCTAATTTAAAGCTTCTATATTATCTATAATCTATATATCTATATATTTTTCGCATATAATTACTAGATATAGATAAATATTCTTGTAATAATTGTTGTTAAAGTTCTGGCAATAAGGGCGAAATAATAAATAAATAAGGATATTAAATTAAAATTGAATTTTTCCTTCAAGGAGTTAAAATATGAAATCTTGTTGAGTGTAAGTCGCTATTTTTTTAAACAAAAAAAATCTAGTCGCTGGTTTTGTACTGTATCCTTGATACGTTGCCATAAGTTAAGTGTTACTTAAGAATATCATTCATAATCAAGTCAAAAAAACTAAAAAGACGAGGGAAAATGAAACACTGGCCTAACACAAAATAACATTTATTAATTAAAACAAAAATTATAAAACAATAAAGCTCTCATCTCGGTGCTAAAACAGTATAGCTTGATTTTTCGTTTGATTTTTAACATATGCGGTAAACCTCTTCAGAAACTTTGGATACTCTCTTTTGTAAACTGCCCGCAAAACGGACGCCGGTGCCCATCCTCCCGGATTTACTGAAAATTTATGATAAGATAAAATATAGTGCGCAGTTCACATATTTAGCGATTAACCTACCCACTGAACAGTAAGTTATTTTGCATGAAACATTATCTCTTGACAAAGCTGTGCCTTCCTTTGGTGGTATCACTCTAGTCTGACACAGCAGACATACCGTCAAGAATATCCTGACGCATTTGCCTGAGTTTGCCTGGAAATACAAATGTATCCAATGATTTTTAACCTATGACAGAAAATTTTAAAAATTCTCTAATGCTCTTCCTGATAAAGAAGAACTGCCAGTAATCTTTATAATATAGTACGATATTCATGTGTTCTATGTAATGTAATCTGTAGTTATTTGTACTATGACTGTACTGGTACTAAATCATATTTTGAGATTGGTGGTTAGATTATTGCAATGGTGGTTTCATAAGGCTAAAAAGTCAAGACTCTTTTGATTTATAGTTATTGAAATAAGATGAATATTACATAATTTAAAAACAGTTTTATCAAAATGAAAGTTTCTAGTTTAATTCTGAGAAAAGTTTTGATCTATTAAATTATTGAGCGTAGAAAAATATTTATTTGTAAAGTCTAATGCCTCTTCGGGTAAATGATCAGTACCCAGACAACAAAAAAACTGACTTGGTTGATGGCCTAAAAGTGGAAATTTGTTGGAGAAAAATATTAGACCCTAAAAATCAGTAGATAGATTTTGATTTAATAAATGAATGAAAAAACATTGTTGGTATATTAAATCGAGCAATTTTAGTGACTTTGGTAACTTTATCGAACAATTAATAGATCAGAAAATCCTGAAATGAAAATAATACACGCAAAAACGACACGCTTGTGAAGCTTACCGGATAAGTTGAAATTTCAGTCGAATTGTTAACCACGGTCCACATATCTGGCCCCTCCCTGTCTTGATCATTCGGCAACTGCCTTAAGTGGGACCAAAAAACAACATCCCGCTGACTAGCCGGCCATATTCTCTTGTGAACTTGATGAAAAATTAATGTATCCTCGGCTATCGTTTCCAGTACGGTCATGTGTTCTAATGTGGCTGAAAAGAAAAACATATTATAAAACCAAATGTAACAAAAAATTTGAAAAAAAAATAGGTCTTTTAAAAATATCGAAAAAATTTATTGGAAAAAGTTATTTCTTTTCCAGTTTTCTACAAATATACCAATTTTCAAAGAAACTGAAATGGTTTTAAGATTTTAAAGTTTAGCTGATTTTATTACAAATCCGAGGGGTAACTTAAAAATACAATAAAAAAAATTAATAAATATCAAAATAAATAATTTTATCGTTTTTTAACTATACCAGTTTTCTCTTTAAAATCATTAGGGAACATTTTTTGTCAAAATATTTTCTTTAAGTAACTACGAAAACAAAACATATTTATATAGACCTTTAACCTGAAAATCAGTCAAAGAATTACCGCCTGAAGTGTAGTCACATACTTCAGAAACATTTTGCATAGAACCTGTCTGAGCATCCACCACTGACATAATCACTACTAAAAAAAATAACAAAAATGGCGGAAATAACTCAAAAAAAAAATAACAAAAATGACGGAGATAACTATCTTAATGACAATTTTGTAACATTGTTGGGAGCATAGTCCTACAAAAGAGAGTCAAACCGCAGAGCTAAGCTAAGAATAGGGTTGTGGAATTAACCGGTCAAATTTTTTTGTATCAATTTGTTTATATTTATTAATATTGTGAGTTACGTCGCCGTCGCGTCGTTTTTCCTTGAAGAGGGTTATACAATTAGAAAAAAACGTTGTAGAATAAAAGAAACGCTAGCGATTTGAACAAAATTAAATATGATTTTGCTTCATTGATGCTTTTTTTAAAACAATAATATAAATTGTAACTGTTAACGCTATCTTTAGCCTATAAAGCCCATTTTTTAGTTTTAGGCACATGCAATATTAATGTAATTTTTATTGGAATTAAATTTGCCCTGATTTTTAATTAATAATATCAGTCTTACTTAAAATAAAACGAACAAATTTTTTTTAATCATACCTAATTGATTTTACTTAGGTTTTGGTAATAAAATGAAAGAAAATTATTAAGAATGTTTAGGTGTGATCTTTACCCTTTTGTGGTTGTACTACTTTGTAATGCTTAATTTTATATAAAAATGCTTTTCGATGCTTAGATTCCTTAGAATTTCACTGGAATTCTTTGGAACTCCTTCATGCATCATAATTCCTTTGCGGTTTATCCCCCGCTTCTCATATAGTCCTTTTTATGTTTGTTAGTCATTGCGGTGGTGTACGTAAAAGGCATGTGGAACCTATGTGTGCACTCCCAAAATGCAGCAAAAATAGGAAATGCTATCTCAAATTGCTTACCGACATCTAAAAAGGGATGTAGCCTCTTTGGATGCGGATTATATGCTGAGGAAACGAATGGAAGAATAAAAAAAATAAATATGAACTTGCGGAAAACGGAGTATCCAAAAATAGGAGAAGTGGAAGATGTAGAGCTAAAAATTCACCAAATTAAAAGGTTAGGCAGTTTAAATCTCCAGGCACTACAATTTCAGCAAAAAGGACAACAAAGAGAGACAGAATACAGCAAGGGCAAAAGGCAAAAAGGCAATAATTCAATAAAATAAACAACAAAAATGACTACAATGCCATTGTAGAACCGGTTATGATATATATGAAAGTGAGTGCTGGCAATTTGGGAAAAAAAAGAAAATAAAAATAGATGAAAGGGTTTTTTATTTAGAGTGTGCATAACAATAGAAGATTCCTAATGAGGAAATAATAAGACGAATAGGAAGAGTATTCACAAAACAATTGGTTCAGCATGGCCATGTAAGGAGGATGAACTCTGTGAAAGATGGCCAAAAATAATGATGGAATTATCAACCACACTTACTTTCCCAGTCATACCTATACTTTGGCTCGAAGAAATATTGGCAAACTTCGTGACCCGTTATGCCCTTGACCACATGCACCGCTTTGAGAGGATCCACCACCATGCCGTCGATTTCCTCCTCCCTGCGGTACATCTTCATCTCCCCGTCTTCAGCGAACAGTTGCCACCCCGTTCCGCACTCCCCGATACCCATTCGAGCCATCGCTACCTGCTGTTTTACCACTCTGTCGATCTGCGTAAGTAGGAGCAAACAGTTTTTCACAAAAATATTTTAAACCAGATACTCCGAGTGACATACTTCAGGCCAGAGTTTGTGTTGACAAGCGGGAGAAATGGGAGGAGGTGTGATGGGTATCTGTCCGCTCTTCAGCAGCTCTCTTAGCTCCTGCTCCTCTTCCATTTTGTCCAAGCCCGACTCTATGGCGTCGTAGAACTCATCGTCGGCAAGTATACTGTGGGGTCCCTCCTGATACATAAAAAGAAAGGAAAAATTGATGTTTTTTTTTCATTTTTCCATACAACGCTCCTATACTTAAAAAAAATAAATATGTAAATGAATGACTTAAAAAATCATCACTTATACTCTTCGCGTCAAAATTAAAGCACCACTAAAATTTGGGTCAATTTCAAAGTTAATTTTTTCGCGAACTGATGACTCGATTTGGAAATACATTTTTTTAAATTGTAACTTAAACAAACCTTCATAGTGTTATAATCCTTCTTATTTAAATTTAAGTTTTAGGAATGTACAGAGTGTTTAACGAAGAACCAGTTTCATACTCAATGTTTGCCACAATTTCTGGGAATACGGAATTTAATGTCAAACTACATCGGTCAAGACAAAATAATGGAAATTATTTTTCAGTTTCTAAAATGGCCATCAAGGGGGCGAAAATATTTTCTTGAATTTTAAAACTGTTCCTCAAAAAAATTCTAATGTGAATAGTCTCTTAAATACATTTCGATATCTCCAAAAAGGTTTATCGTATTTTAATAAACTGGAAATAGGTAAAAAGTTAGTATCCAACAATTAATTAGTGACTGAGTTAGTGATTTTTAATAGAAAAATAAGTGGTTTTTTTCAAAGAAACTTCCACAGGCTACTGTAATGCTTTTTACAGAACTTCTGGATTCCTCCTGCGTCGGTTTTTGCTTAGTTGAAATTGCTGACGTTTCGCCAATCATCCTGTTGGCTTCTTCAGAGCTTGACTGAATGAGTTTCAGTTAAGCTCTGAAGAAGCCAACAGGATTGGCGAAACGTCAGCAATTTCAAGTAAGCAAAAACCGACGCAGGAGGAATCTAGAAGTTTTGTAAAAAGCAGAAAAATAAGTGATTAAACGCTACGGGGTAATTTGGTGCCCTTCGACGAAATTGTAAAAAAAGTAATAAATATTAATAGTAAAATTAGCGTTTTAATTAATTAGACATTAATAACAACCCGTCAAGTAGAAAATGTTCAAAAATTCCAACTTTTTTTTTGAGCGTTAAGTTTTTTTATTCGCATTTGAGGTCAATTTAGGATAAAGATATTGAGATATGGTTTTCGACCACTACAATCGTGTCCCTTGATTGATAGCCCAGAAAACCGCCTTTTATCGACTTTGAATTCATTAAAATTAGTTAAAACTTTTTGGAGATACGGACAATTATTTAAGAAAATATTCGAACACTCCCACCACTTTCCTTGAAAAGATAGAACAAACAGAATTAAACAAAAAATATTTCAAGTCGTTTCGACTTTAAAACGGTTTTAAAATACAAGACTACGCCCCCTGCTGGCCATTTGAGAAACTCGAAAATAAGTGCCAGCATTTTTTGGCCGAGTTACTTAATTTTTTATTTCTAATTTCTAGGCCATCCGCTTTCCCAATAGTGTACCTCGACGCCCTTACCAGAGTATATCCAAATCGTATAAGCAGTTGGAGAGAAAATTAACTTTGAGTTTCGATGGTGCGTTAATTTTCGAAAATTTGGCCACAAAACTAAATTTCAGTAGTTATAACAAATATTTTCCACTTATATAAACATCTATTAAATTCATGTTTACAATTGTTTATAAACACGATCGTGTTTGTCTATAAACTTTACAACCTATTGTAAAAATAAACGGGGATAGTGCAAAGCTATATATATTTTTTAATGCTTTAAGGCATATTTGGAGCACATTTTGGGTTAGTAGGTGTCAACTTGTAAAACACCAACCTATAAAGTTCACGATCCCCTTCGGAATATTAACACGATTTGTTAACACACTCAACCAAGGCTGAACATAAATAAATATTTTTAATGACAAACGATATATTTATTTATGTTTACGATCTCATAAACCAATATTTGCTGCTACTTTCCTTTTAACTACTGTATGCATCAGAAGTCTCAAGTCGTGAAACTATTAAAAACACATTTTTGACAAAAAATGTGCACCATTAAGTTTTTTTTTGAACAAATTCTGTGTTTCTCAAGTTATTTTAGTAGCTTTATTTTCGAAAAATAAAAACCAAACAGCAAAACAGCTCTACTAAAATCCACACGCAAGTCTTAATAATAGTCATTTGAAAAAGCACAATCGGCTGAATTTGTATATAATCAAAAGGAATTAGTAATTGGGGCATTGGTAATTGACACTAGACTAGACATTGGGACATGGAGGACAACGGTAGGAACGTATTGGTACCCAATGCTTCATTTTGAAAGTTGGACAACTATTTGTTTATTAACAATTTAAGTGTGAAAAAACATTATTTTTGAGTTGTAGCTGATAGCGTGGTTTAAAAAAAAGTTTCATACCTACAAAATAAACAAAAAGTTATAGGATGAACAAGTCTAAAATGGCTATTTCTTTAATTGATAACAAACAATAGCAGAACATATTGAACAATATTGCGTTCGCAATCTTGTCGATGCGAGTGGGGCTGTTCCACGCTGTGCGCGACGCGGATTTGCATTTCAAAAAAATCGTTTCCCGCAGAGCGCATAGTTTCCTCGCGCACTTGAATGAATAGAATTGTACATGCATCCTTTATGCGTTTCAAATAGGCACTCGATCTAACCTCAAAATCACGTCAAACTCCAATATCTTTAAATATGAAAATTGTAGCGTTCGGTGCGACCTTCAGCATGCAACCTAAAAGCTCAATTTTTCACTGTTTCTTATTTATTTACATTTAATTTTTATCCTCAAAAAAGGCAATTTTCATAAACTTCGTGATTTTTGCCCATGAACGACACTTAACAGCGGATAGAGTTTTACATTTCTACCAAATTTCAAGTCAACCGTAATCTCCCACCACTGTGCACATACGGACAGTCGAAAGAACTGCGGCTAACCAAAACTACTGACTGGCACATCAACAAATTCGAAAAAAAAACGATCTGGCATTTTTGCTTAGAAAAGTTATAATAAGAATCCTCATAAACAAAGCTACAGTGTTTTTTCAAATATTCGCCAAAAAATGCCAGCTATCATCTAGGTGCGAAAAAACAGTTTGAGTGAATCGGATAATAAACAAAAAAGTTATCCCAAAACACCATGAAAAATTACTGTTTTCTTAATTGTTAATGAATACATATTGAAATAAAGCTACAGTGATTTCTTCGACATCTCCGCTCACACTGGTCGTATTCAGATTTTTTTTAATTCGTCAAAAAATATCAGCTATTACTTCTAGCTATCCAGCTTTTCGATAGCATCATTTTCCATATCTATAATTTATTTTTGGACAATACTAAAATAAGAATTGATCGTTTCAATTAAACAATTAAAAAGAAAACTAAAACATTAATAACAGACTAATATTAGAGAAAACATTGAATATTTTTCTTGAAATTTTCATGACAATGATTTTAAGACCTAAGACACTTCTTTTGGGATATGAATGTTATGCTACGTTTATTAACAATTAAGATAACAGCCATTTTTTACTATAACTTTTTTGTGTATTAACCGATTCACTAAAACCTATTACATACAGCAGTTTCAAGGATTCATTATCACCTGTAACGCTGCATAGTAACGACATTTTTCTAAGCTTTAAAAATATACCTTTTAAAGCCTGTAAAGTCTAACTAAAGAGCTGCTTTTAATGTGGAAGTTAATAGGTTAATAGCTACCAAATAAACTGGGTGGTTCGTAAGGAATTCGACATTCCGAGATTAAACTCGTGGGAATAATGATATTGAGTCAAATATGTCCGTAAAATGTCGTTCATTTGTTTAATACAAGGCGTAGCTCAAGCAGTTTTTGAAATATGGACATAAAAATTTCGATTCGGTGGCTGTTGGAGATGGCGAATACATTCTATTTTTTCAGATAATAAATAGATGGCACTAGTTGTACTCAATAGTACAGCCTTGCTGCTTTTCTTAAAAAGATTATTATAGAGTGATTTCTAAGTAAAAAAGGTGCATTTATTTCGATAAAATACACCATTTTCAAGACATTTCCAATTTTAATTCACTCACCTGATTAAAAAGCCGGCCACTAAAATTTCAATTTCAAAATTGGTTTTCTCACGAACCGTTCGCTTGATTTTGATGATCTTTTTTTGATTGAATCTTAGGGCACAATGCTGTGTCCTACACTTTCATTGAGAATTTGCAACAATGTTGTTTAAATATTCATTATGCCTAAGCATATTAACCACTTAAAGTTTTTTTTTGTTTTATAATAACATTAAAAGATCTTTTAATTAGATAAATGAATATCGCTGTCAATGTGAATGTGTTCATTGCTAATCCATAGCCTACCCATTCCTAATGAACTGTTTTTGAGTCAGCGAAATAAATGTAGTCCTCCTTTTTTACGGAGAAATCATTATTCTTTATTCGCGATCCTCATTTCCAAAATAAAAATAATATTTGTCTCAATATCAACTATGCGTTAGTCAGATGTAGCTGATTAAGATACAGGAGTATGTTCCCTTCAGTTATTTAGTTTACCACTTGGAACCTGGTTATTTTTAATTTTTTTAATTTTTAATTAATTAATTGGTGGCTGTTTTTTAAACAGGTGAACGGCACGAGTTAGTAATTAGCCCGAATCCCTTAGGTTACTAGGGTTAGCTGACCTCAAAAACACACCCGATGCGTTATTATAAAATCAATTAATATCGGGCCACGCAAATAACTTGAAATGGAGATATGCCTTAACAGGCCAAATTTGTCATCCATATCGGTCGAACGGTTTGACGGGAAATTTGAAATTTAAAACTAAAATTTTAAATAGGACACACCGTATTTGTCGAGTTATGTCACCCACATAGCTACTAGATATACAGGGCGATTCAATAAAAAATGGTAATGATCTTGTTAACCGCTTTAGAGATGTCCGTGATTAATAAATAAATATTATTTTTGAAATAACAATATGCTTAATCAGTTATTGATTTCCGAATATGTCCTATTTTTTAAAACGTATTTTTTTTATTCCAGCTATAGTTTTGATCCAAATGTTGGACCAAAAAATC